TTGCAGTATAATATACAGGAATTAGTGGAAGATGCTAAGAGTTCTGGAAAAGAAACTGTTCCTATCGAAGATGTAGATGAAATTCTTGGTGATGAATATATTGATCCTCCTCCAAGGAGTAAAACCTGTGTACTACTCTGACATCTTCTAAGGCTGTATTATAAAAGAACTTTTATAATTTCAAAGTCAAACTTTGCCACCATCACAAAATAAACCTGCATACATTTTTGTCAGAAATTTTGATCAAAAAAATTAACAACAAATATTATTGAAAAATACATATAAAGTGCAGATTATCTTACCAAAATGTTAGCAAGAAAAAACATGGCGTAAAAATTGTTAAAATACATTATTGGATAGATTCACTGTAGCTACTTTCTCAAAATGTTCAGGTGTAACATACACTAGTAGCTGCAAAAGACGTACTTTGATGTGTTTCTATGTTGACATGCATTTGGCACACTTCGCTACCATCTATGATTTAAAGGGTGGCAGTCGTCGCGCCGTGTCCTGTTCGATATGGGACTCATATCGACGTATACAACGCATGTAAAATACATTGTTTATTTACGACGACCACCAGGCTTTAACTATCTTATCTTTGTGATAAACAAATCGAGGGGGTTTATTTGCTATGTACACTGACTCTGTCATTTTGTCATTTCTGGAACTTTGTATACTTTCCATTACAACCATGAACACTATAGTGTTTATATCGTTAATACATAGTGAGTGGGGAGCAGGGAAGCCCAGTAAAAATAACAAAGTTAAGCACTACATGTACAAGTGGTGCACACCTATACAGTTCTTATCAAGGTGTTTTTAAATACAGTGATGTGAAACATCTTTATCTGCATATCCACACTCTGGGGTGGTTTTTCACTTTCCACAACAACCTAAACACTGTATTGCCTGTCATTGTATTTGGAAAGTACATATTGTTTCTTATTCAACATTTGCAAGAACAGGATTATTTTTTTACCAATTAATGGCATCCTGAGCTTGTATATACCGGTACCCAAATGTTGACAAAAAAGTTTTTTTTGTGCAAGTGTAGAGAACTTTGATCACAACTTGAGCTGAAGTCTTGGGATAGGTGGGTGAGAGAAATTCGGGGGGGGGGGAGTTTAAGAAGAAGCAAATTAATATTAGAGCGAAGAACTTGTTTGAGGTAAACAAGGACATTCTAATAATATTTTTATAGTGATTTGATAGTTTTCATTCTCAAAATATCTGAATCGTGTTGTTTTGTTGACCAATTAAGAGTATGCGATATAAATAGGTACGTATTGTAAGACAATCTCCGATTGGTTAACTGATCCTGTCCAAATTTGGATATATTTCTGACACAAAAACAAAGATTTTAATGATTATAAACACCACACAAAAGATATACTATGCATAACATTTTATTAATATTCATTAAACATTTATATACAATGAATAATTTCTTGTAAAAATTTTGTAAATACACAACACTTATTAATAAATGTAATAAAGTTATATATCTAAAACTAGTGTTGTTGGCTACATAGCACATACAGAAAGTTAACACATTAAATGAAATTATGCATTAAACATAATGCTGTATCTATAAAATCTAAAATTGATACAGTACACAGTTTTATTCAGTTTTTTCATTTTCAAATTTAA